CTATCTATCTATCTATCTATCTATCTATCTATCTATCTATCTATCTATCTATCTATCTATCTATCTATCTATCTATCTATCTATCCTCATTGGAATTTTACTTTCAACAGATGTCCTAATGAAGGTTCTTTTGGAGAAAGTCCCTTAAATTCACTTAGAGGCTTTTTCCCATCTCAGCATGCCGGGAGACAGAGTTCTTGCAAGCCATGTCATGCTTGGCTTAACAAGGATATTGATTAAATATCTTTCTGCTAAGACATAAAGCCCGATGGTGGCTTATCATGCTATGTGAACTCAGTGGGAGATTTTTATTTGTTTGCGGGGGAGGTGGAGAGAGAAAAAATTGGTGGGAGACTTCACACAAGATCTCAAGCTAAAACGTTGCTTGTTTGCATGAAGCACGTGGAGGGATGGTGTTAAGGCTGGCCCGTCGTACAGGACTCTAGTAGAGGCAAACAGAGACAGCGTCTCTCTGCCACGAACTCAGCTGTTCTTCCCGGAAATGATGGCTGCAAATAATGCTCAACTCACAACCACAATTTTGTGCCTGGAATTTCTGCTGCTAAGCAAAGCGGTTAAGTGATTTTGCAAAGTTTTCTCCCCCCCCCCCCGTGGTTGTTAAATGAATCACTGCAGCTGTTAAATGAATTGTGCGGTCATAAAGCATATAAGGAACGGTTGCTGGAATTGGGTATGTCAAGTTTAATGAAAAGAAGGACTAGGGGTGACATGATAGCAATCTTCTCAGGGGTTGCCACAAAGAAGGGGGGGGGACAACTTATTCTCCAAAGCGCCAGAAGGCAGGATAAGAAGCACCAGAAGGCAGGATGGAAACTAATCAAGGAGAGAAGCAACCTAGAACTAAGTTTTGGCTTACTTATGAGTGACTTAACAGGCTCACATTATCATCCCTGATACAGTTGTTTAGACTGTAGATTCCATTGCTTCGTTCTTCAAATACTGTGAAGGGTTAAATAAATATTGTTCTACGCCATCTATCATCTCTGCCTGAGCATTATTGACTCAGATATTCATTGGCCGATATAAAATATGAATGCAGCATTGTTCAGTTCAAAATATATCTTCTTGGAGAGCTTGCAAAAAGGAAAGCATGAAATAAAATAACCAGAAGACCAGAAAGCCATATCCAAGTTGGCACTACGGACAAAAAAACATGCATTTGCTACCTCAAATATGTCTGAACTTCCTGTTTTTTATATAAATATTGGGGAAAGAGCAATCGATATAATGTATTCAAACTTTAAAACATAGATTAAAAGCTCTGGGTTCTTTTTTAAATATGTATTTTACTGAGTGGGTATGTTTCTGTTTTCTTATTTATATTATTTCTGACTTACTATTTGGCGTAATTTTCCTTTTCTGTATGTTGCAGCAATAAAAAAAAAAGATACCCTACAGATAATTTAATTGTGGAAGGATGAAAATGTCCTATCAAGTTCAAAGGCTAATTTTAGCATAGTTGCACAGAAGATTCCCAGACAAGGAGAGGATGAGGCATTGGGCTGCCAGGAAGAAGTTATGGAGTGATCCCCATAGATCAGAGCTCATTGGGCAACATCCTAGAGCAACATCTGGGCCCGAGTCCAACCAGAACAACGTTGAAATGGCCTTCTGAAATTCTCTCCTTGTCCCACCAAAACTCAGTCCAAAAGAATTGGGTGGATGGTTGCTACAAATTTCTCTCGGGGAAGGGGAAATAATCCAGCTAGATTTCCAGGACAGGATGTCCCCTCAGTAATTATAATAATGTCTGCACAGGAGGGCTTTCAAGTCAGCGTTGACTCCTGACGACCACCTGAAGTAGACCTTGAGATCTTCTTGGCAAGATTTTCAGAAGGGATTCGTCCTTGTCTTTCTTCCCAAAAAGTCATCCTGTTGGGCGTTGTGCTTAAGATAGGACTAGCCTCCTACTTTCCAACTGGGCACCTTCACCACTACACCTAATAACAGAGAGTAACAGAGTTGGGAGGGACCTCGGAGGTCTGCTAGTCCAACCCCTTGCTCGAGCAGGAGAAGCGAAACATTTTCTTTGAACTGACGAAGCTTCTCGGATGACAAGTGGGAACGTTATCGTCTTCTTCCTCAAGAAAAAAAAAGCACAGTCCAGTTGCTTTTGGAAGAAAAGGGGGGGGGGAAGCACCTCAGACTTTTGATTCTCATCCCAGAATCACATGCTACTCAGCCAAGGTTAGATCTTCCAGACTCCTGACAATAACAGGGCCATAAAGTCCTGGAGCCAAATTTTGATTAAAAAAAAAAAAGACCCTTGGGATTGTGTTGCGTTTGTTGGGAGCTTCTGCACTGTTAATTATTGTGGAAACTAGCTACCCTTGGGATATCTCTGCTGCCCTTATTAAGGAGGTCCTGACAGCCTGTTAAGAGATTTGAGTACTGCTCTTGCTTGGTACGTCCGCTTTTTAATGTTATGCTTTTAAATCTGTTTGCTCGAGCTAATAATAAAGCTGAAAATCCTTTTAATCAACAGAGGAGGGTTCATTGTCTCTGGATCCAAAGGAACCAATTGCTAGGGCACTTGGCAAAATGT